CATGAGAAATTTTAGAGTTAGAGTAGTTTCCCTGAGCTTCTTCCTTCACTCCAGATGTTCCATCTGAATTGTAATACTGGTAATTACATGCAACCCACACAGGCACAAAAGATTTAAACCTCTTTTTGGATGGCACACATAAAATTCAAGCAGACTAAATCCTTGAATGAGATCTTAGTATCCCTTCCAAAATATGAAGGGACTCTTTCACAGCCTTTATTTTAGGGATACCATACAGTAATGCTGTCACAATAGCAAGGGTAATTTTTAATGGGTTTACCTGTCACTTAGGAGCTCTATGTCAAACAATATGTCATAAAAGAGAGGTATATAAATGAGAAACTAATCACTTCTGATGTTGAAAACCTCTCATTTGATGATGATTTTATAACTATTCTGATAAATTTTTAAAGCAACTGGGCAGATAATGTGAATTTCCTAAATTTTTCTCCTAAGGAGAGAGAGAGAGAGATTCTTTCTTTTTCCTTTGTGAAATCACAGGCTTATAAATGAAAATGCAGCTGGAAGCAGCTAATGTTACACATTTCTCTGAGAAAAATGATAAGAGAATTAGAAAATAAGGAACAGAATCCAGAGAAGGGGAAAATGCACTCATGTAAACAAAGGTAAAAACAGAGGACACTGAATTCATTACATACATGATCAAAATTCTGTAGCAAGTTTAATAAAAGAGTCTTTCATAGAAGGAGAACTGTCAAAATGGAAAACAGCTTTCTAAAACAGAGGCCTATGCTATAGCAGATTTTGCTAGAGCTAAACTTTACAGCTAAATAAACAGTGGATACAAAGAACAACACAAATGAAATAATCAGACACAAAAACCCCCTGATAGTTTTACAGATCAGAACAGAGATGTATCTCTTGTTTTTATTAATGGTTTCCAAAGAACCAAATAATTTCATAGAATATAAGCAAAGAAAATGAAATTAGAAGCCTTTTTAGCTTGGTCTTGTTATATGAAACCACACTCAAAAGTACACTGGAATACCAGTTCTAGCTGGCCAGTTTTTTCTGCTCTGTTTTAGTAAGTGATTCTGTGATTCAGACAAAGATGTAAGACAACAGTAAGAACAACATGAATGGGTTCTTCCTTTTTTTGGTTTTGCATTTGTTTCTTGTGCTCATAGTAATTCTGGACATGGAATAACTTCCATATCTATCCAGAGATGTGTGCTTTTCAAACAGCTTGGGTTTTATGTGCTAAGAACACAAATAGAGAAAATCTTGGTTTCCAGCCAGCCATAACTCCAGCTATATTGCATTTTCCAGGTTTGTTCTTTTCTCATATTGCTTGCTTCTAGGATTTTAACTGTAGATTTTATCTGTGTGTTTTGGACTTGCTGTTTTTCATTTTGAATATTGAGTCCTACATACAAGTTATGAAAATGGAAACAAGCAATGACAATCTCAGAAACCGTTAAAATGCTCCAGAAAGAAATAAAATATTGGTTTCAACTGAAAATACAAATATAGGCTAAGATTTGAGTGGCCATTTCAAAATGTAACTGCACACGTGATTAATGCGCAAAGACATTTTTAAAGTGCTCCTAACTACTCTGCAGCTACCCACAGACATTCCACATGCTTCCCTATCCTTTCACATTCTCTGCTGCAACGTGTTTACAGGTATCACAGCCCTGGGCTTTGAAGCAGCTGGACAAGCTATTTTCTTACCTAAACACCTCTGGCTGATTCATATGCTGAAATGAAATACAGGAATACTTACCTCTAAGATTGTCTTTGCAAATACTACTCTAAACCACTTTTCAGGCTTGAATATTAGCTCTGTATATATGACTGACAGAATTTCCATGCTTGTTAAAAAACTTGACCCATTACAGCAATATTAATGCTTAACTGCACTCCCTATTAGCTGCTCTCTCAAACTGCAGTCAATGCTTGTGGTATACGAGAAGTGACACTCATAGTAAAAAGTAGTAAAATTTACTCAATGTAAAATGTATAAACAAGAAGAACTAGAAAAAAAAAAGATTCTCCTCTGAAACTTATTGTTTGCCAGTATTTTTACTACATCTGTAGGTATTGCAGGCATATAAAACCTTCCTCTTTTTCACTGTCTACATATGTATGATACATACAAAATAAACTGCACATACACATGAGCACACACAAACATACATAATCTATGGTTTAACTCCAGTAAACCATATAACAGACACTGAAGGCTTGTTCATCTTTTCTATAAACATGGTAACCAACTCGTCAAATTGGCACCCTTCATAAGATCTCTCTGGTAAGACTCTTGCATTGGTTCAATTGCCATGGTACCCAATCAAATCAGTCATGTTAGTTCGAAAGATATATGCTGAAATATCCATATGGGCAATGTTCTCTTAGTAGCTTTATTACATAGCGAAATAATACCATACTTATTATCAAATTAATTTACATATTCAGATTTTCCCTTTGGCTGAAACAGAACTGCAGATGCATTTTGTTGTAAATATATGGATTGGGCGTGAGTGTGAGAAGAACAGCAGAAGATTTGATAAGACAGAATCCTGGTATCAGATAGGGAGGGTTCTTGGCTAAGTCAACAGTACCAAATTATTCTTTCAAAACTTACTGCAAAGTACAAAATCACTCCACAATTGGAGGCTCATTATTTCTATTCTATGAGCTAAAGTAACTACCTCTGCAGAAATTACTCTCCAAGCATGAAACTGAAAGTTTAAAAAGAATTCTTATTACCTTTGCCAAGGTAATACTATCTCAAGACACAGAGAACATTTTAATAGGGAGGATTCAAAAGTATCAACCTCTCTTGTAACTGAAAGCAAAGCTGCAGACGCTTGTCTGCCTTTGACTGATATATATGTTTGCTGTCTGGTTTTCAGCTACCATCCAACAAGTAAAAAAGGGTCACAAAACATATTAGTATTAAATGTAGAAAAGTAAAAAAATCCTCTTGGGCCTTAAATCTCACTAAAATTGTTTGCCATTTATTACTGAGAGCTTTCAAGAATAATTATCTTCACTGAAACTTCATGCCTAGGAGGTTATGGAAAAAATTCCTGAAGGCAATGGAGTACATAGCTATAGTTTTGCACAATGACCTTAAGTTAAACCCTCCATTTGATGGTGTTGACTTCACAGCAAATTTGAGACTATACCTATTTGGTTAGGGCAAGGCCATAATGAATAAACATGCTTTACATTTTTATTTTGCCAGAGAGGCTACCAGAAAGATGTTCAGGGGAAAGCATCTTTTCCAATGGATTAACCCACTGTTAATGACACTCTGTAAGTTAATGCTGACTGTAATGTTGATGACAGTAGCAGTAGCTTTCATTCGTGCAGGTGGCAAAAAGTTCCACCTATCATATTCTGTTGGAGAAAAACCCTGTCAACCCTTCTTCTATGTAGGGATGACTCTCAGGACTTATGATTAACAGCCTTTTTGTGGTTGTTCTCTTTTTTCTCAGATGCGTAAATCTAAAACCTGATCTCTGGATATAATAGTTTTATTTGAGAACTTTGCTACCTGTGTTTTAAAGTCTAAAAAGGTCCTTATAACAAAGAAGAGACTCAAGAGATCCAGAACATGTAGATACCATTTCTGGAAAGATCAATCTCATGAGTTTGCATGAAGTCTCCACCTGAAATTGGAAGCATTCTCAGGCAGGAGGTCATTGATATTTATGCCTACTTGGAACAGCAATGGAGTTTTTTGCCAGGCCAGAGAAGCAAAAAAGATGCCTGGATGCAAGGAGAGTATCCAGAAGGATTTCCTTTCCCTAAGATCACAACAACCGCTGTGGTTGCTGTATGCCACATTCCCTGTACGAATACTTCAAATACAACTGCATTTCCCGGAGCCACCATTCAGGTTGGTTCCCGTACTGTAAAACCACTCGGTGCTTGGCCCATTCATACACTTTCTGTCAATCTAGTAATGTTTTGTATTGAATCTTGCACTAGGGAAGACTGGTTTTGAAATGAGCTACTCCCCAGCAGTAACTGTCTCCCTGCTAGGGAATTTTGTCATCAATCAATGTGAAATGTAGGTGCTGAAATTCACTATTGCCTTCCCCCCCCCCCCCCCCCCTTCTGATCTGGCCTTACTTTTTACCTACACACCCTTTTTCTCAAACAGGTGGAGGTGAACCTGAACAACTCCCTATCAAACCAAGTCTGTCAGTTGGTTTGATACCGCAAATGAGAAACAAGAAAGCCTGTTAAAAGCCTTTGGGGCTCAATAAACTGAGGAAATATGTTATGCTGAGAAACTCAAGCCATGGATGAGAGGCATTGCACAGTCTTGCAACGGACAAAAGACCGAACACTTCAACCACTTAAAGCTCTCAACATGAGATGAGAGCTTCACTACCACTGGGAAACAAGGAGCAATCACTGTCAGATGAACAGAAGGACTGATCACAGGGTACTCTACTGCTCTGTGGCAATCAAAGTAGAGAGATCAGTAAAGGAAAAAAAAAATTGATTCTTTTAAATTCTTTGACATATTTCTGGAAATGCTGAGCAATATCCAGCAGTGGGGCCTTCCCTAAAAGTTACTCAGAATCAGACAAAATTCTATACTCTAAATTAATTTTGGCATGGAAAATAAAATCTGAGAGAAACTCTCCTTCTCCCTTGATTGGATCAGAAAAAAGTATGGCTGCTGCAGAATTGTCTCCTCTTATGTGTAACACGGTGCCTGTGCAGCAATAAATTCAATTTGCAGCACTAATAGATGTCTCAAAAAACAGAAGACAAGACAAGATAAACACCATTCAATAAGAATTTTATCAAATGATTCCTCTTAATATGAGAAGAGACTTGTCTATTTTTCTAATGAAAAGGGTAAAATATCTTCTCCAAGATGTACCCCATCACAAAACTGTGACACTTGCAATAAGTGGCATTTTCTCTGGTATTTCTTTTTTTTTTTGTGGATGCCATAGAGTGCACCGCATGAATATGAAGTGACATCTTTACTAACATGTGGTACTTACTTATCTCCCACAATTCCCAAGTTGATTGTTGGATAGCCATGTTCCTGAATTGTAGCTAGGAGAGTTGAACGGTTACTGTCCCGAATCTTTCCTGGCAAGAGGTCATCTTCAGGATTCAGTAGCTATAAAACCAGAAACATTCTCAGTCAGTCTCATTGGAATACTGGGCCTTTACACAACTGAGAATTTTATTCTTCAGGTTGGACAGGATATTCTTAGACACCTATCATTAAATATATGTGCAAAGTGAATTAGTGAATGTAAATTAATAAGATACGTAATATGCCTGTTTAGTCCAATCCTCCATGCTGCTTAGTTTGTTTCTATTGCTTGACGTCTGCAAAATCATCTTTCTCCTTAGGAGTACTTGGCTTCTAATCTCACACATTAGAAAACACAAACATTAAGTTTCCAAGTTATTGTTTCTGTTTAAATGGTTTTAGAGGAACCTCACTGATGTTGCTAACCAGATTTAAAGGTATTAAAATAAATTTGGAAGTTCACTGTCTACTTATCAATAAAGATGGTTTTTAAATAAAACAATCTGTATTGTAATAATAGACAGAAGCTTAAAGCTTGGTTCTTATTCAATTACTGTTTAGGATGAAAAGCTCTCTCTCAAGATAGCATCATGGCAATTGCCTTACATGTGTTACATATTCTGGAAGTTAAACTACAAAACATACATTTGTAAACATACATTTTACAACTCTTAGGAATTCTTTTGTAGGAAAGAGAAGGGCAACACAATACTGACAGGAGGTAAATAATGTGTCTCTCAAAATTACAGCAATAGTATCAGGTAGTGAGATAAGAATAACCAAAAGCAGAACATGGCTAATATTTGGTGCTCTGGCTAGCAGCTCTATTTCTGTGAAGATTTCCACAGGATGATTAAGAAACCTACTGTGCCGGATCTTTTTTAACACATGATACAAAAGAGAGTGCCCACATCAGTAAAGGACCCTTTCATGATGTGCAAGAATATTCAGTCATATGGAAGACACTATTCAGAAAATCATCACCTGTAATGCTTGTAGCACTTCAGATTTGTTCTTTGGTTAGTGGTATGTTTCCTGCACGACAGACCTCATCTATGTAATGAAATCTGGCAAGACTCTGCCCACACTGTACCCAGTAGTCACAGAGTAACCTTCACTGGGGTTGTGAAAGTTGTAAGGACACTACCAGATGACAAAATCCAACATACTGAAAGTTTTCAAAATCTTTCAAAATTCAACATATTCAAGCTGTATAAGAATACAGCCATTTGGTTTATGTTTGTGTCTGGACTTCAAAGTTTGTCTCAAAGAACAGTCAAAATTATAGGTCAAACTTCATGCTGTCTTTAAATGTCAAACTGACTTTATCTCAACCCATAAGTTCTTTTTGCTTTTGCTGCTCCTCTGTCTCACTGTGGGACAGGGAATGGGTGAGCAGCTGTGCGGGTGCTTAGTTACTGGCCAAGGTCAACTGAAAACATTTGTAAAATCAGTACATTAATCTCAAATCTGCTTTTTCTGATGTAGTTAAGAAAAAAGCAATTAGGAAGCTGGCCTGGCATTTTACCAACAGGACATTGTCTAGATTTCAACATGTGATCCTAATAAAAAAAAATTAAGACACAATACTACAGCAAGGCATTCGGAAGTACTATTCAAAGACCACTTGCACCATAGCTACAGAGGAGGGCTGCTCAAAAGAAATTACCCTTCCAGTCATTACTGGCAGAATGAAATACAACCCTGACTATCCTACAGGTCCACTCTTGCTGGCAGGAGGAGAGCAGCTGGCATGAGGTTGGATACGTGACCAAAATTTTGTCAAACACAGCGTGTGACACTTGTGAGAGAGCCCCTGAGGAAGAAAACACGAGCAGCTGATTATGCGTTGATCACTTACAAAAATACCTCATGTCAACGTGAGTTGCAGCTCAAAAAGTGAGACCACTTGGGAATAGGGCAGAAGTCACCATTCAAAACACTATACCTGTCCCAAAGAAGATACATCAACTCAGACCTTGATTATAAACATACTTTTCTTACCTCATTCCCTGTTGACATGACTGCAACCACTGGAAACTTGTTAACCTCTACTTCGGTTACACCAACAGTTGCTAAGAGACCAATCTCAGATGGACCCATGTGAGTTCCTTTAGCCAGCACACATTCACCTCGTTTAATGTCATGTCCTATAGGTCTGAAAATCATAGCACAGAAAAAAAAAAAACTAAATAAAAGCAGAATGAGATTGAAAGTATCTTTCCTTGATTGGTCCAGGTAAGGAGTGTCCAGGGATGTTCATTAGTCAGATTGTCAAAATGTCAGTACTGCTTATGGTCAACCAATTACTATAAAAATCACAAGCCCTTCTATGCCTCACAGAGATATTTTACTGTTTATAAAGCAGGCTGTCTACAGACCTGATATCTTGGCCTGGTCGAGCCTGCACCAGGATTCGAACCTCTAGTTCTTCAGTGCCCTACAAAAACAAGGAGATCAAATATGGTCAGCTGGGGTACTAAAAAACAGATTAATCAGTTCTAATTTCTCAGAATTTTACACAGCCTACAGTATCCATTACACTGAGACCTTATGGTTTAAGCATCATCATTGTTCTTCTAATTGGAATACAATGTGTGCTAAAACTGAACAGCTTTGTAAGAAATTCTCTCTTTGAAGAGCTCACCAGAGAAGGACCAGCACTGAATACAGTTTTACCTTGCTTTTTTAAATGATCCCTGTGTTTATATATTTTTCCTATGTTATGTTCTCTGTGTATTTGTTGATCTGGTATATCAAGTAGATTCTTCCTACTCCTTTCAGCCAATGTGGTCTGCTCAAACAACTTCAAAGATGGCATTTCAAATAAAGTGTTAGTCTGACAGACGATATGCCACTGCATCTGCAGAAAGGTGGGGAGAAGCTATATGGTCTGTTCCAGGACCTTCATGTAGATTACTGTAGTGGAAACTCCTACTTGAGAGCTTTGTACAAATCAGGAACGGGCTTGTTCATCAAGTTTATTTACTGTGAACAAGAGACAGTGGCCCAAAAAGTCTGATGTCTACTTTAAGATTTGTGTTTTCTTCTTCAGAATTTCAATGGTTTGGTGATATGTTCAATGCCAATAAATAGCACATGACCTATATTGTTAATATTTAACTTAGAAGCCCTGCAAGTGGGTTGTTGCCTGGGGCAACAATTAGTCTAAGAATTATTTTACTTTTATGACACGCTGTGGATGGTTGGCCACTCGTGAAGACTTTAATTTTCCGTATCTTTGACACCATTTAGAAATAGCTAGTAAGTTTCTAGGGAATCAAGAGGAGTGTCAATGATACATACGAGTAATAGAAAAGGTCCTATTTTAGGACTCTTGGATTAGGGAAAACAAGGAGAAAAAAAGGCTTTTTAATTTGGTAATCCCAGGCTTGAAAAACATTGTGAAAAGCGTGACTGTGGACAGCATGGTGATGTGCAGTGATTGTTATTTATGGAACTGATGGATATCCCAGAATACTTCAGGAATACAATTTAATTCAAGGTAGCTAGAGGTAGGGCTTCCAGGGAGGTACAGCATTATGCTGAGAGCATCTTCAATTTGGTGTGTATTAGGCAGCATTCTTCCTGCTGTGTATTACTATATTTTGAACTATGTCTGAGTGGTTTAGTCTGACGGTTGTTAACAGCCAGCATCCATACTGATATACTGATATCCAGTCTTGATGTAGGATCTAACTCTTGTTTTGGTGGATCACATTGGCCTCTTTTTCCCACAAGGTGACATAATATGTCTAAATGAAGGGTATAGACATGCTTTTGCAAGGATCAGTTTTTCAATAACAGTGCATTTGGTGAGCTGATGAGATTTTTTCTATCTGCTGGATAGATGAAATTCCTTTCAGGCCTGTGACTTCTACAGTAATTTGGGGAATGCTTGCTATGATATTTAAGTACTGCTACCGCAACTAGGGGTCAATGAGCTCCTCTTAAAAGTACTCTCTGGCTTTTCAGAAGAACATATTTCAGATGTTAGAGATTTCATTTCAGTTAAATCACAGCCCTGACGGAGTTCTTAACACTAAAAAGAAAAATATTCATGAAGTATGTAGCCACCCAGGCATGAAAAAGGAGACAAAAATAACATATTAATTAAACTGTACTAATTATTTACGTACAGAATTAGCAGAGTGGCATATTCCAGGACAAGTAGAAACTGAAGAGTTCTACCTCACACTTAAAGGCAGGAAAATTAAGCTAAAGGTGGCTTGACCATTTGCAAAAAAACCCCAGAGTTTAAGCACATAGCCAAATAATCTTTTCTCACATGCAGAGAAAAAGTGGAATCTAGGAAGACAGTCATCCAGAGAAGAAGTAGAAAATAACAGGTTATCATGTGCATTGCTCTGCAATGTGATAGTCCTGTCATGATGAGGTGGGCAGTGGCCACAGAAAACTTGCTCAGTAGGGCTAATGGAATGATTAACAGGCAGTGAAGGCAATGGTGTATTTTACAGGAAGATATAATCTACACATACACATCTGTACCCTCAGAGCAGGACTGACTCCACAAATTATCTGTTAGAAGAAGGTCAGCCTAGACAGCTTGCTGAAATCATCAGATGTAAAAATCTATGCATTTACAGTAATAAGGAATGAGAAAGGATCATGAGAATATGTTTCACTTTTTGCTGTTTTCATCAGCTTTGAACACTGGAATTCATCTGCTTACACCCCAGCTGCAATCACAACGCTAGCATAAAGCTATGGTGAAGTGGAACAGCTTGTCAGAAAAGCAGAAGAGGAGCAAAAGCTGATGTGAGCACACACTTCTTTCCAAAACTGAACTTGGAAGTTGTGTCAGTAAGAAATCTGTCATCATCTGTCAGATGATGGCAAACATGATCATAGTGTCCTGAACTCACAGCTGGGTAAGTGAAGGTAATGACTCAGAAGGAATTCTCTGAACACAAAGGAAGACAGAACGATACTTAGGAAGTCTAAGGTCGACTGTTTGGGTTACAATTGCCTACAGAGAGCTCCCGTGCTTCATAAAAAAACACATTTTACTTCAAGACAACTGTATGTACAGAATTAATACTACAGTACTCATATTTTTTTCTGTGATATTTTGCAGCATGTGTAAGGTACAGTGCCAGTATGATTTAGAGTTACATTGGAAGAGCTGTTCAAATTAAGCAGAGTTAAGACTATGTTCTAGGGAAATATGTGCCTTATGCATTTCCTGGTTTTCAGAGGTCTTAAGAACAGTAATTTTCTCATTTTAAAGGAGCACAGAGGCCTCTTGAAGAAAGTTACGGTTTAAAAAATTTGAGAGGCACTCACTTCTCCTGTTGCATAATAAAACCCCTTATTCTAAACATATGCTTTTATCGTAAGGTATTCTCCAAATTACACCAAATTTGCCTTTGCTGAAATGAGACTAACTCTGATAATAAAGAACCATCCTCATGGCACAGATCAAAATAATCCAAGTATGAATTTTACAGCACTTAGTTCACTTTTCCACAGAACATCATATTCAGCTTTAATTACGTCAGCTGTAATGCTACACTGCAATATTTCAAGGTCTTATTCCAGGATCATTATGTATTCTAAGAAAACTTTTCCCCTTCTTACTTGGTGTGTTTAGGAGAACTTTTAAAGTCCTCATCTTGCTGAGTTTCAGGACGATCCTGAAATAGCAAGACTGCTCTACTGCTAAATGTGAATTCAGTATAAAAGAAGGAAATATAATGTCTGATTGCCACTACTCTGTATTTCAAAATGTGAATACACTAGGCACTCAAATTGACTGTAGTTACAGATGTCCAGGAGGCATTTGCCTTTCACTCAATCAAGTCTGAAAAAGTGAGTAGAATTGGCACTAGGAACTGATGTGAAAATCCTCAAATTTTGGAGATAACAGAGGAGCTTTCCTGTAGGACTACCTATTTACAGGATTGTATCATGAGCCATTTGCTGCTGCACACAAAAGAAAAATTAACTTGTGACTCACATCATCTGATTCCCTGATGAGCTCTGTGTCTTCCACTTGCACCACTGCATCAGCACCACACGGAATTGGAGCACCAGTGGTAACTCGCATTACCTGACCAGGCATCACAGTCTGAGTTGGCTGAAAAATAAACATACAAAAATTAATTTACTTTTGAGAAGAAAAATATCAAACCATTTGAACGTTATGGAAGTAATCTGAAAGACTAAAAGTCTTATTCATGCGTGGCTCTTGATAAACTGCTAGTGATATCAAGAGGCATAAACTCCAATGTATTTAAAAATCATTAGGTCATTGCTTCAGGTCTGGCTTTTAGGTCACACACTAGGTGGCTTCAGATTTTTTCTCCTCAGATTTCTATCACAAGAATAACTTTTTGAAGAAACAACACACTGATTCTCTGCTTGGCTCAGAAAATTAACTGGCTTAGAAATGTAACAGATATTAGATGGTGATCTTCTAGAAACTTACACGAACAAAAATCTAGTAGTTCTCCACACAAAAAAATTTTTGCAGAGTACTCTGATCCTAGGGTTGAAATTTAATTGCTTTGATATGGTTGGATTTTTGTTCTATTTTGTTTTACTAGCACACTATATAGGGAAAACCAGCAGCTTGTAAGTAAAGTAATGTAACCAGCTGCTCCATTTTCAAGCAGATTTCCTCATACTGAGAGACATCTCAATGCTAGTTCACATAGAATATCTTTGTGTGGGTCAGTTTAGCAAAGCCTAAAATTGATAATATTCTACAATTATGCAAAGTCGCGGTTTATTACAAAGTTTCAGCAGAAGCAATGCAAAGAGTAGAGAAATATCAGAACAGCCTGATAAAACAAATGACATGGTTTTAATAAAATTTCTCACCAGGCAGCCTATTTTAATATACATTTTTCAAAATCCAGAGTAAACCTGTAATTTGACCATAACCACTTAAGAAATAACTAACTAAAAGAAAATTCTTTCTAAAAAAATGCAACTAAAAGCAGCTGATATGATGATTGAGATTTCATTGCTGGAATATGAGTACTTACTCTCCACAGCACTTTAGTAAACCTAGTTCGTTATTAGCAAACATGTGCTACACATATACTCTGTGCGTGTCACACATATAATTCAGGTGCAGATTGACTCTACAGTCCATATGCAGTGCTGGAATATGCCCAGGATTTAGACTGGGACTAGCAGGTGTCTGGTAGCAGCCCACAGACCTGCGGGCAGTACTGCCCAAGCACTGGTACCTGCTGATGCCCAGCAGCCACTGACTCCACGACTTTTGGCAGGAGGCTGTTCGACACCTAGACGGTGGCCAACGTTTCAGCTGTGCAAAGCTGTCTTTGCCTTGCGCATTCTTCTACTCCATTTCAGCACTGTCATAACCTTTGAAATGTGAGTATTACTTTGAAATGTGTGTACTTCAAAGGTTGTTCACTGGGTCAGAAGCCCTAGGGGGAGGCTGGAAATGGTTTGTACCTAGTCTGCCACAGTATCACAGTGACCCATGTAACCCAAGAAACAACTGAGCCTGGAGCTGATTGACTCCTGAACCTCTTCCATGAGCAATGGAAATCTAACATCCTTTGAGAAGAACATAAATAAAATGCTAAAATAAACTACAAAAAAAAAAAAAGATCACACTTGCCATATGTCATGGTTAGTGTGTTTTTAGGGCAAGACTCATGATATCCTAAAGTAGGTATCTAAACCAGAGTACATAAAAATAATACTTCTTTTAAAAAAAAGGTATTTATTTCTCACCACAGGCTTATACAAGAAGCAGTGGATGAATAGTTGAGATGCTGCCATTTGTACTGAAGAAGTTTAAGAGTGAAAATAATCTTGTCTATTGTGTTACTGTGATTTTCATGAAAACAAATCACAGAATCACAGAACGTTAGGGATTGGAAGGGACCTCAAAAGATCATCTAGTCCAAGTTGCAAAGCTTATGCCCTGGAGCTCTTTTGTATATTATTGTAGATACAGTCTATAGATACATTACAAATAGGTAATACTGTTTTGACTTACAGTATTGACAACCTTAGTGACAATTTTCAGAGGAAAAAATATATTGCATTAAAAATTCTCCCACTTAAAAAGCATTTTTTTGGGCCTCAAACAATACAAAATGCCTACAACTCTGCCAGAAATCAGTGCCTATGGTGATACAGTGAGCTGCAACTATCCATGCTTTTGGAGTTTATTACTAGATGAGTTTATTTTTTGAGATGTAATGATGTGAAACATTTAAACAAATTTATGATCAGTAACAACTGCTCTTAGAATTGGTTGTGTTGCTCATATATTTAATCTCCTTTTTGTCCTTTGAGTATTTGATCAGATTAATTTTATGAACAAAAGTCAACCATCAGATTTGTGTGTGAATCTCCAGGGCTGTGGTCTTCTGTGCTGGAGACTATGAAGATAAAGAAATGATTGCTTATCAGAAAGCGTAGGAATGTACAAAAATTTGACAGAAGCTCTTTTAAAGGCCTTTGAGATCTCACAGTTACCTGGAATTGGGTAGTACTGGGTTCTGTCCCTTGCCTTCATCACTGATAATCTATCTAATGTTAGTCACTGAATAAAAACCAGAAATAATCTACTGAGCACAGTCTCTCTCTCAGGCATTTTCTCTTGCACATGATTACACCTCTCCTGCATGATTTACAATGACCTGTGCTCCTTTCTAGAAAACAGCCCAAGTTAATGGAATGGTGGAAAAACGTCTGTTTTCCATCCTCTATTTTTATAGCTGGCTAGTCACAGTGCCTCTTACAAATGTCTTTAGAAAGTCTTCCAGGAAATGCTAAGCTCCAGCTATGTAAGTCTATAGGAAGAAAATCATTGCTCCCTGTGGTTGAGTCTTTCACACAGAGGCCCCATGATGACTCAAGACTAGTACTCTCAAATATGCCCTAATGTCCCCAAAGCAGGATAGTGTCTGAAAGTTTTCCTCAATACAAAATAAAAAATGGGTTGTTAACATAAACACAACCATCTGGAAATAGAAATCAGAAAATAATACACAATTTACAAATTAATACAAAAATGTCCAACTTGGCTGTATGGCCTCTCAGCAATTCTCAGTCCCATTTTCTTCTTCTCCACACAGCATATACATAACCTTTTTACCTACAGAAAGAGCCAAATCTAAACCTATTCTGAACTCCCTGCTGTGAATCATTCTGTTAATTGGTCTGTAACATAAAAACCAGAATGTTGCTGCTGAGAGTGACTGAAGGGTGAAATGAGACTAGGGAACCTTCCAAGGCTATAAATAATTTCTTGGGAAGGAGATGAACCTGAATATGTGTTGGCCCAAGAAAGAAACTATGACCAATTATTCAGAGGTCAACAGCCTCATTTTTCTAACTCACCATGGGTATTTTCAGAATTATTCTCTCTCTGTCTGCCTCCTCCCCCCCAGTTTTTGTTCCTTGTCAGAGAGGCTTCCTATTCCCATTAATCTGGGAGGACAGACTGTCCCTGTAGAGAGACATTTGTGAGTTCTTCAATTTTGTAGGAGGGAAGCAAGCTCCCGTGTGCTCTTTCATCCTTTGTACAAACCTGCCCAACTGATTAGGACAGTGAAACCCTTTTAGACCTGTGGGCAGTCCTCCCCATTAGACACAGCTTCAACAGGACTGTTATTAAGCACCACTGTGCTGTGATATTTTATAACTAGCAAAATGATAATATTGATGACAGATGAATAATAATAGGAGTGATAATTCAGCAGGTTGCTCTGATGGTTCTTGCTATTTTATAGTGACCATAAAAAGGGTTGTAGAAATAGTTGTAAGTCTTTTGGATTCTGGACTAATACTTGAAAATACAAACTCACTAAATTTACTTTTTCTTTGGTATTTAAAGTAATTTTACATATTTTGTATAACAGATTCATTAATCTAAGTTCGTGTGAATAACAGTACTGAGAAGACGTGAATCATACCAAAGTATAATTCATGATGATGGATGGGAACTACAGCAAAAATTATTTTCAAAGTTCTCTGTATCTATCATGATTAGCCATATTAAATGTCTATTATACATTTAGAGGCAGTTCAACTCCATTAAAAAAAATAACTATGGAACAATCCTGCAGCCGGTAGTACTTGTAAAACCTGAAACAACTTTTGAAATGCATCTAGAGATTACTCGAGACCTTTTTGTTCAGCAGTAAAAATGGCCACACTGTAAAATCCTCATCAAAACCGATCAATCCTGTGTTTTGCCTATTACTTATTCCATTTCTGAATCATTTCACATATGAAACACAGAATTATAAACTGGGACTTGAAATAGCTGTAGAAACATCTTGGATTTTGCTTTCCTGAAAAGAAGGTAGAAGGTATAATTAAATTGACAGAAGGAAAAAAGTTCTTTTTTTCCCATCAGCCCAATATTAGTACAGGAACTTTATCAAATGTACTCATGAGTTTGAAAGCAAATCTCAAGTAGTGTTCATTCATGAATATTTATACAGCACAGCAGGTCATGAATGGGTGCTGCCTTGACTTGCTCTTAAACTCAATCCACATGTATGCTGAATCACAGAATCACAGAACGTTAGGGA